TTCGCCGTTCCTGCGATTCTGAAATTCCTAAGCTTTACAGTCTTCTCTCAGAATCGTAGCAATGGCTTTCCCTCGTGATTTTTGATTGCGAAAAAGGGTTTGTTTTGTTTTTCGCCGCCGATTCGTCGCCGGCAGATGGCCAACTCGCCACCTTCGCCGCGAAATCCTCCGAAGTTGGTGGATTGTTGGTTTCTTCTCGCTAGGGTTTCAATACCCACATAAATTAAAAACAGAGAGAGAAAAAAAGATCTGATCTTTTTCGCATTGGATTTGAAATTATTTTTGGGGAATTTTGGAAGAATGGGGAAAGGTTGGTTTATTGTAGAGAAAGTAAGAAGATGCTTAAGGACAGTGTTCTTCATGGTTGCGATGTTGGTTTCGCTTTTAGTTTCGTCTTTACCTGTTCTTGTAGCAATCGGAGATGTCTTGGTTCCAAGCTTTTTGCTTTCGAGCTTCACTTGTTTGACGTGTTACGGCTTTAAGGAGCATTTGAGTCGATACGGTTTCAAGAGCTCTTTGACTGATATTCCTGTCGTCTCTCTTGTCAGATCTTTCCTTGTGATATGTACGTTTCCTTCTTCTTTCTGAGTTTTTGTAGATTTGGGTTTTGCTTGTCTCAATCTGAAAGTATTTGTTTTTGATTCATGAACAGGTGTGTATTCACTATCTGATGGACCTGCACTCTCGCACGGACCGTACTTAGGAACTGTGTCCCTGTGTTCTGTTGTTTCGATTGTTCTTCTTTCAGTTAAAGCTTGTGTTTTTACTGCGAATTCTCAACTTGAAGCTGAAGCATCGTCTTCTCCGTCAAGACAACGATTACACTTGAAGAAGTCTTGGGGAATGCCGGTTTTGTTTCTTTCATCAGTGGTGTTTGCTCTTGGTCATACTGTTGTTGCTTATAGAACAAGTTGTAGAGCAAGGAGGAAGCTCTTGTATCACAGAGTTGACCCTGAAGCAGTGAGTTTATCATTACGATTCTCTCTTTTTCGCATCGGAAGTTTTGTTTTCGGGTTTAATTGAAGATTTTATTGAACTGTGTTGCAGGTTCTTTCGTGCAAAAGTGTCTTCTCTGGTTACCAGAAAGTCCCACGTTCTCCTATTCCTTTGGTAGGAGGAAAAGGCTCCAAGATTGATGGAGAGGCGAGACGAAAGCTTCCTTCATCGACATGTCACGATGAAGGAGAGCTTCCAGTGAGATTGCTTGCTGATATTGATAGTTTGTTTGTTACAGTGAGAGGTCTCACTGTGCATTACAAGATTTGTACTCCTGGTTCGCCTCGTCAATCTGTCTCCTCAACTGTGTCCCTCGAAGCCAATTCTACGCTTAATATGCCTGAGGCGATGGCGGGAAGGTTGAAGCTTGACAGGAAAATGTTGAGCATGGTTACGAGAAACAAGCTCAATCATCACCATCATAGAAGCTACAGTAGTCTGTTCAACAATTCTTCTTCATTGCAAGATCCTCTCTTAGATGGTTCTCCTACTTCTCCTCTACTTTTCAAAGACATTCAGGAAGAAACGTGTCGAGAGGATGACATGAATGTGTCCAATTTTGGCGCCACGGAGCAGCAAGATGCGGACGGAAACGGTCAATTTGGTGTAGTGCTGGTTCATGGATTTGGTGGAGGAGTGTTTTCCTGGAGACATGTGATGGGTTCTCTTGCACATCAGCTTGGTTGTGTTGTCACTGCATTTGATAGACCTGGTTGGGGATTAACCTCCAGGCCTCATAAAAGGGATTTGGAAGAAAGAGAATTGCCAAACCCTTACACTCTGGAAAATCAGGTAAATTTTTAAGTTCAATTGCAGACTATAACTCATTGGAAAGAAATGTGTAAAACTCAATGATGTGCTGATGTTTTCCAGGTAGAAATGCTTCTTGCATTTTGCCACGAAATGGGATTTGCTTCGGTAGTATTGGTTGGCCATGATGATGGAGGTTTGCTTGCTTTAAAGGCTGCACAACGATTGATAGCATCGAAAGATCCCGTCAAACTGAAAGGAGTGGTTTTGCTTAATGTAAGCTTGACGAGGGAAGTAGTTCCAGCTTTTGCAAGAATACTCTTGCACACATCACTAGGAAAGAAACACCTTGTTCGCCCGCTTTTACGTACTGAGATAGCTCAGGTGGTGAACCGTCGAGCTTGGTATGATCCTGCCAAGATGACAACAGATGTCTTAAGGCTATACAAGGCGCCACTTCATGTTGAAGGCTGGGACGAGGCACTTCACGAGATAGGTAGACTCTCATCCGAAATGGTGCTTCCAACTCAAAATGCACTGTCACTTCTCAAGGCAGTGGAAAACTTACCAGTATTAGTCGTTGCTGGAGCGGAAGACGCACTTGTTCCCCTCAAGTCCTCCCAAGTCATGGCTTCAAAACTCGTAAACTCTGTAAGTCATCCATATATCTAATCAAAACACATAACTCTGTTGTCTCAGCAACTAACATAATACATTTCAACAAACAGAGGCTAGTAGCAATCTCAGGATGTGGGCATCTGCCACATGAGGAGTGTCCGAAGGCGCTTCTTGCAGCCATGTCCCCGTTCATTAGCAGACTTGTACTT